TATGTATGTATGCATATAAAAAATAATACGGTTCCTTCAGTATTTTTTTAAATTACTTTGGATCAATAAAGCTATGAATTGTAAAAGAATTATCGACCCTCGAACGAATACTTTCTTAGCATTTCTCAAAGAGTTACCAAATTAAGTTATTTTGATAACTTTTTTCAAAATTTTTTTAAACTTTGACACTATTGTGTATACATATGCTTACATCATCCAAACTTAAATTCGCAAGAGCATAATGAATTACGCACTTGTATATATATTAAAAATTACGCTATTTAACCAAATTTTTCTTGAAATAAATTTTATGTACACTATCTCTATCTTTTAATCTAGATCAGTTTTTAAAATTGTTATAATGGTTTCGATTAGTTTCTTTTTTTATAAAAGCATTATGAATCTACATTTCCATAAGTATGCATGTATGTATATAAAAATAAAATTATACTTATAATATTTATATATTACTTGTTTTTATATTAAATTTATAGGCTCGCTGTATTTTTCGTTCTCTATATGTCACGGGTTAAAATTAATGTGTTCAAAAAAGAATACAAAGTAAAAATTTAATAAAAAAAAGAAAGTACATTTACAGACACAAAAAAAAAAAAAAACAAGAAAGAAAACTTAAAACAAAATATAGCTGATCAGCAGACTGCAGAGTTTTACCAGAATAAGAAAACAGGAAAAAAACTAAAAACAAAAATAATAAAAATAAAAAATACTAAAAACCAGTCAGCCAGTTTTCTCTAAACACGTATTTCTTTACCTTGAACTTGAAATAATTTTTTAACAACGCAACCAAAATTAATAAAATTTTTTTCTTTAATTTTTACTTGCGCACACAAAACAAATGTTATTCTTTTGCCTTGTCGTTTTCCTCCTAAAATAGTATTTTTACTCCATTTTTTATACTCAACCGAACTATCTTACATCATGTTTCCTTTATTTGTATGTCATGTGCTAAAATAAAATTTTAATATATTGACGTCATATTTTTGAAGTTTTTAGGTTTTATTATTTTGACATTAGCAAAAAATTCGTTTTAACTTTCAACTTACGAGTATGTGTATTTCGCTACCATTTTCTCGTATATATGCACTAGGCATTTAACCTTATTTAACGTTAAATACTGTTCTTAGATACATATTTAATTTATCTGTTTCTTTTATTTTGCTTCAAAAAATTTACTTAAAGTGTTTGTCATGCTAAGACTAAATTAGGAAATGTCACTTGCTTGACGATTAGTTACACATCTCATGACATTTCCTTTATTGTGATAATAAACTATTAAATTTTTTTGATAGATTTTTACCTAAAAGCAATATTAAAACTTACTACGTAGCTTACACTAACGAAAAAACGACAAGACTATTCTTTAGTTCTAATAATGTTTTTGGATAACGAGAGCTGGGGAGAAGAAAACAAAGTAAAAAAACAGAGAGAATATATAAAAATGCCTCTTGTTTTTCTTTTTTTTATATATTCTATATATATAGGAACACACACATTAAAAGTTCTATAAGAAAATATTTGTGTTTCCAGTTTTTCTTTTTAACATACACATGTACAACGTGTTTATAATATATATATTTCTTTATTATCGCCTATGAAATGTATGTATGCATCTATAGCTTTGTTATTATAAGCGCATAAATAACTTGTGAATATTTTATGTTATACTATTAGTGCACACGAATTTATCATAACATTGTATGTCATATATGTACGTACTACGTACACCCTTCTTTAAAATTAGTATAACCAGATTATGCCATGATGTTCAAGTCGGCGAAAATCAAAATACATAATATATTTTTCTTTTAGAATGAAATACATTATGTATCTATGGTATGTACGCTTAATGGTGAAAAGTTTTATATAAATTTTTCAAAATTTATCGCAGTGGTACCTATACAACATATCTTCGGTCTAGTTTTCCTTACCTGCATACTTACATATGTATTTTAAGCATTAAAATCTGCTTTACTATTAGAGAAAAAATTAAATTGAAGTGTATGTATATAAATTAAATATTATTGAATTTCTGTAGTGTATAAATTAAGCTTGAGAATTAATTTTTATTCAGTTTACAAAAGTGTCAGTTTACAAAACTGATACAATCTTTACGATAAAAATCTGAAGTTTCATTCGCGAATATACTTTTATTAAAAATTTATTTCTGGGGAAAATACAGAATCGAGAATGCTGTTTTACCTACATTCCCTTCTCCAAAACGCACGTTAAGAAAACGGAATGGTCATAGAAATTAACTTTTATTTGGAGATTTATTTCTCAAATGTTTGAAATCGTTTTTCTTTTAAACGGGAATTTTTAGACGGCTAAAATTTTAGCAGCTTTTAGGCACCAATAAGTTATTTATTTCAATAGAAGAAAATTTCTTTCCAGCTCCAGCAACTCCCAAGTTTTAGCTCCAGCAACTCCCAAGTTTTAATTTTCCAAATTTGAATTTTCGACGTCTTCCCCAAAACTAAGAACTTTTTGGAATTTCTATAAAAGCGAAAAGCTAACGGTAAATGCCATATCATTAAAAAGGATAATTATTTATCTTAACTCACTTACTTAACTGTCGAATTCGACGACAATGCTTTCAATCTTTTTCTTTTACTCATCCTGAATGTATGCAATAAATTGATGTATTTTGGTATATGAATAAAAGTAGAATTTTAAATAATTTGTATATTGTGATCAAAAGAAAGAGAAAAGTGCTTCTTCGCAAGGCATTGTTTTGGTCCAACTATATTAAGTTTTGAGTTCATTTTAAGTTTTTTCCGATTAAATACGTCTTAATATAAAATTGTTTCTAAAATGATGAGCTGAAACACTAGTTCCTCTCTGTATGCTTATGCCAATAAGTTATTTAATTGGAACACGTAGTAGCTTGTGTATATTAAAATTTTTACATGCACACTTTTATAACATTTACCTACACATTGAAATTTCTATAAATTTCAAAATAAAATTTCATTAATCGTTTGAAATACAAGGTAGTTGAAAGCACTTTAATTTATAAAAATGTACATAATACACACGTTTGTATACTATATTTATAATTCGAATATGTACGTACATATGGACATATGTATGTAACTACATAAGCACTCGTTATTTTTATATTGCATCCATATGTATACAATTTAATAGGTAAATCATTATTAATGTAGAATTGTAGAAATTAAAAATAAAATTACAGAATAAGAAAATAAAACAACTGGCTAAAATCGTGAACAAAAAATTGCTTTCTGCTTTGTATTTGATCTTGAACTTGACTTTTAATTTTGAAAGCGAAAACGAATGAAACTTTTGTTTGTTTCTTTTAGTTATCGGAATGCTTACTTTTTTTATTACATTATTTAGATTAGTAGGGGAATATACTTTTAGACAATGGAATTTAAATACTTTTTTTTTGCCATTTCGCAAAATATATATTAAATATTTTGGGGCAAACGTGGCTTCTCTTTAAAAATTATTTTGGCATAATTACCCATTTTTTGTACATTCAATCATATTTTGCCCATTTTTTCAATATTGATAAACTTTTCATTTTTCTTCTTTAAAAAGTTTAGTTTTATAATAATTTATTATGCAAATGTAACAAAACCTTAAAGTTATTTATAAGATTGTTGGTATTACACCCTTAAATTTGGAGATTTATAGATCAATATTGGTCATTTCCAAATTCGATTTTGTTGGTAATTTGAAAATTACGAAAAACTAGTCGTTAGGGTTTCCACTGTTACATTTTACAATAGCTTTTTCATGTTTTTTTTTTTTAATTGGTGTCTTGTGAACAGCATAAGAAAGGAGTAGGAATTGAGAAGTTTCACAATTTTAGAACTAACATTAACACAAATAAAGAAGCTGTATAATTTGATTACGAAAATTTAAATTACCCTGCAAAAATTAGAATTTTCTTTTTTTAAATTTAACCCTTTTTTACAATACATACATATGGATGTATAATCACAGTCTACATATTATGCTTAATATATTGTTATACAAATTTCAAATTTCGCCGGTTAGAAATACTAAACAAACTACAACAGAGTAAAAAAGTCATCTAATCATAAAAAAATATCAAATTTAAATTATTAAAACAAAACAGGTTGAAAATTACTCGAAATAAAATAACATTATGCACAAACATATACTTATATGTATTACCTACTCAAATACTTATACTATAGAAACTATATGTACATCCTGTATGTGAATGTTATTTTTTTAATCACATGCGTACATACATATGTATTTATATTCTATTATAAAAATAGGAAAAATATACACTAAAAATACTATGTAAACAAAACAATTAAAACCTTAAGCTATTGATGTGCCGAAATGTCTGAAATATTGTAAATAGTGAATAGCAAAAACAACATGATTCACTTTATTTATGCTTATCATCCTATTGTAATGTGAGTATAATGAAAGAAAATCGAAAATATGAGGTTTATGTATTCATGGAAATTTATTAAAAATATGCGTATTCTTTTAGAAAAAATAAAGGAGTAATTTTAATAATATTCATTTATTTGATTATTTGAGTTACATATGTATGTATGTCTGCATGTTGGCAGTAAGTACTTAATATTATAATGGCCAAAAATTTTTATTTTTTGTTTTAATTTAGATCTTTAAAAAAAGTTCACAATTAGTATAAGCATACTCCATACTAAGTTTTTTATTCTACTTATGCTGATAAGAAAATATGCAGATATTTAATCGCATTGGTTAACCACACACATACACAGTAATACACGCATTTGGATTGTTATAAAAAAAAAATCGTCGACGAAAATGAAAATAATATTATTTTGACACAAAATGTAAATTAAAGTGGGAATTTATTGCCTCTTTGGTTGCACCTGTTGCAAAAATAGGAACAATTATTCTAATTTAAAAAATTATTATAATTTCATCAATCTCAATTAATGAATAATTTAATCAAAATTTTCCTTTTTCTTTCTTTACAGATTTCATAAAAGCTGTAATACTAACAAAAAAAAAATTGAATAACAAGGAAGCAAAAACTTGTAAATCACCATAAAATTCAAGTTTAAAACTGCTCCCTGATTCAAGGAAAAATGCTCTAAGGTACGTACTATTTAGAAACGTGAACAAAATAAATTAAAATTAGGAATAATAATGCTCATGCAACTATACATTTAGATAACTTACATTTGTAGATTTTAAAATGCAGTGCAAAAACCACTGCAATTAAGCTCTCGAAAATAACTCCAAAACATTTTCATATACATATTACAGGTGATTTGGATTTTGGAATTCGAATATAAGCAACGCATTGTGCTATAGAGCAAATTTACATCACATAATACGTACTTAAATGCACAAAAACAATGTTTATAATAAAATATATGTATATATATATGTACTGCACATTTGCCTAATATACCAGAATACCGAAAATTAAGATTGTATAATATTTAACTAGAAATTTAACGTAAAGTCTAAAGGTTTCTATACATACAAACATACATATAACGTACAGGTATGGAATTTCTTTTTACTTTCAAAAGAATTCAAACAAACATACATCATTCTTATTCCCTAATAAATTCTTATTCCCAAATAACAAAATACAATAAGAGGAAATAAGAATCAGTGGATCATATGCATACAATGCTTTTTATTCAATATACATACATACATAAATATAATATAATAAATATATACATACTTATATTATATAAAAATATATGTCTGTTTATTTATAATTATACAATGTGTGTATATCTAGCTGAAATAATATAAAATGCTCTGGCTTGAATTAGTCATTTTTTATACTAATGTCAAATTTGCATTTTTTTGCAGTTGCGTCTTCATCTTGTCAAAGTTATTTATTATAACGTCTAAGCTAAAAATACGATTGCATAATGCAATATCAAAAACACCCAATCTTTTATTTAAATTTATTTTGATACTTTGTATCAAAGGCTTCATAAACAATATTTTGACAAATCAAAAAAAACGTTCTTACATACGTACTTACATACATGCATGTGTATAATAAAATAAAACAACTTCTAACTTCATAATATACACTTATGAAAATTGTAAGTACTACATACATACATACGTACGTGCATATTGTGTACATATGAGTACTTGTATTTGCATTTATTACGAGAAGAAGAATTATAATGGAACCAGTAGTAAGCAACACTATCGTCGTCATTGCCGTCGTAATAAAAATGAACATAATAATGACATTTATTCTATGGTGAGTACTGTACTTTTATTAATTTTTGTTTTAATTTTAAAAAATATTTTTTTTCTAATTCCTTACCAGTTATTATTTTATTCATCTTACTTTTTTCTCTAATTTGTATACATGCATGTACTTATATACATATAAGAGTATGTAACAAAAAAATAAATAAATAAATAAAAATAAGAAAAAATTAAAATCTGTGAAATTAAAAAAAATGTTAGACCTGCGCTTACTTAAGCCGTAATATTTATTGAAACTACAAAATATTCATATACCTACATATCTACATGCATATTTGCATACATAATATGGACATATGTATATGCATAATTTCTTCATAAAATATCTAAAGAGTATTATGGAAATAATAAAAACAACACGATTTTAAGCAGGCAAGAACAACAAAAAAAAACGTAGAATCAATATTCAAACTTGAACTTGAAAATTTTTTTTTCTATCTTCCTTTCTTTTTTTTTTCTTTTCTATCTCTTTTTCACCAATAATCTCTCATATAAACTATATTTTATGTATAAATTTATTTGTATATTTTCATGTTTTCTGTTTCTATACATCCTTGCATAAGTATTTAGAAATTATATTTTTATTCTCATGACATTACCATCCTATATAGGCCCAGACATTAAAAGAGAAAAATGAATTTTAAGAACATACACACATAAATACACATATAAACATATTATAAAAGAGAACTTCTCATATAAAAAAGTTCATATTTTTACGGGAAAATAGCGAGCTAACACGACTTCAACAGAGAATGACTTGTATTTATTTTTAAATATCTTACGTAAATCACAATAAAAGTCCACTTAACGGCAATTACAATTTTTAATTTTCAACTTAGATTCAAACCTATTTATGTTACGAGTATTTGAAGCATTGTTCTTCAAAGAACAATATTTAGAAAATTTGTATTAAAAGTTAGAACTGTTTATTAAATTAGCAAACTTACAAACATGATAATTTACATTCATTATTTTTTTTCTCCTAAACTTAGATAGGAGAACTATTTCTTTACACTCTTAATGTCCTGAAAAATAGTAATGTCGTACGGTTAAAACTGAAAACAATGGATGATTGAATGTATTTGTATATGTTGATGTAATTTTACGTACATTGGCATAGTTAAATATAGATGTGAAAGTATTTTATAAAGATCCGGTATAAACAAACACATAGAAAATTTCTTAGATGTGTACGTTTTGCACACACACACACCCCATATTTTTTTTAATTTTATATGACATGTTATTGTAGTTGTGTATGTTATATATATTTTCAATTCTCTATTATTCCTATGTAGCTATTCTATGTATTTTTTTTATACCGAATCAAAGTATTTTCTATCTCTTTGACATTCGACTATATAAGAAAAAGACAGAGAGATGTTAACTTTTTTAATAATAAAATTCAACAATAAATTACGGCTGACGTAGTGTTTTGGAAGTGAGAACAATTTTGCTTTATAAAAAAAAAATAAAAATCCAGTTTGTTTTCATAATTTTAATAAAAGTGAAAATTTAATTCTAATTGCTAAAAAAAAATAAAAAAAATTTTATGTTCAAATTAATATTTTACAGGATTAATTGTGATTAAAATTTTTAAATAAAAAAAAATTAATTGAAGAATAAATTTCCAAAGAAATTTCAAATACGCAATAAAATTTTTGAATATTTTTCCAAAATAAAAATAAGGAATTTTTTTCCTTTCCAAATTATTAAAAATTTTGTGTTGAGGGTTTGTTTTCCTCTCAAATGTCATATTAATATTTTTCTCATATGTGATTTAATTAAAATGTAAGAATTTTTTTAAATTTTTCTTCTTAAATTGATGTTATTAACAATAAAAAAAAATTATACTTATAAACATACAAACATCATAGATACATAAATATTGTAAATGTCAAACGTATTAATATAGAAAAGAAGCACAAAAAAAAAACAAAAAGAAACAAGAAGCATGAAAAAAACATGATTTTTAGTTTATGAAGGGAAAAGTATTGCCGTTTTAAGAACATAACTGTAATTTTGACAAAAAACAAAATTAATAAAATATTTTTGGTGTGTTAGGGAAGAAAAACCCTATGCATACACTACATTTGCTAGTGACTTGTTAGCGAATAATAGGCAGTTTTATACTAATAAGAATGCTGTTACATCCTGTATCAGTTAACGGATAAATGCAGCATTTTATAAATAAACAATTTATAAATTTTTAAGCATGTAATAAAGTACAAATTATGTGAATTTATATGTATGTGATTACACGAAATGAACTTAAGTATTGCCATATTGTGTACATAATTTTATGTGTGTACATATATATGGGTTTATATATATATTATATAAATATGACGTGGGTGTTTAATTGAAAATATTAATGTAAAATAATGAATTTATATTCTAATTATTTTTGGGTAAAAATCATTTAATGAAAATTTTTGAACACCTTTTACTTGTAAGTATATTGACGTAGCTATATATATCCGTACATAATATATTATTTAAATTTGCGTATACACAATAAATTGTAAGTTTTTCGTGGACTACACTACAACCTAACATTGTTATAATCGATAAATTTCCAAAGGTCATTTATATACGAGAGCAAAATGCATAGATACATACTTATTCATATATAAAACACATTACATACATATGTATATGCATGTACATAAGTAGGTATATAAAAAATTTTTATATAATATATAAGAATATTATACAAGAGCGTATTGATTTTTAATATTTTTTTTTGAAAAAGGTGCAAAATATGGTTTTATTCTTGACTAATAAAATTCTTTCAATTTCAAATTATAAGTATATGTGTACATAACATATGTATATAAATATATATACAAGTGACTACTGACATTACTTTTGGTGAATTTTAGGAAATTATGAAAGTTTATTTTTAGTTAAAAAATAGATGCTTATTTCAAATAAAATTTATTAAATTTTGTCAAAAAACAGTCTTAGGAAAACAAAAATTAAAAAAAAAATTCAAGCAATAATTTAAGAAAAGTCTTACCGCAGTGGAATTAAAAAAAAAGTATGCAAAATGATAAAGAAATACTATAAACTAAAGTTCATCGCTAAATAAAAGATTTCTGTTATATGAAATGTTAATTATATTAAGATTCCTCTAGAGATTTATTGAATTGTTCAAGATATCAGATGATTGAACTAAATTCTAATAATCATAAAAATATCAAAAAAATATTAGTGAAAAGAGTTTCAAATAAAAAACATTAACTTTAGGAAATTTTTTTACTAAATTTTGTAAATTTTTCAGTTAATTTCTTTCAAAATTGCTAATATTTTTAAATTCTTTCAACTTCAACCTTAAATTACATGTAGATATATGTACATTTAATGTGCATTATGCATGAATGTATTCATATTTATATATATGTACATATAACTGACTGACTATAAAATTCATATTTCATCAGAATTTCTAAAAATTAATTTTCATTTTAGTTTTCACCTGCGCATTTGAGATTATTATAAAATTTAAGATAACAAAAACAAAAAAAAAATATTTGATGATAGTGACGCCAATTCATTTTCTTTTCACTTATTAAAAAAAAATTCCATATGTGCAATAGGTATAAAAAAGCTACATACAATATACAATATGCATTCATATGCATCTATCTAGAATACGTAAATACATTTTTGGATTTGCGCACGTATGCCATTCAAAATTGCAAAAAATGCAATTTCAAAAATTTAGTATTCTAAATCGGAAACCGCAAAAAGCATCCTCAGTTTTACATAGGCTACATACTTTGTATATTTGGTGCATTAATGTTGTATAAGATGCCTATTCCACACACATCCATATATATATATATATAACTGAATATAAAATACCTACGTGCAAAAATACAAATAAGATAAAAATAAAAAAAAAAACCACAATAATAAAAAGAAAAATGCACTTTTTTTCCATAGAAATAACAATAAGAAGCAAAGAAAAAGAGAAAAATTGCAAATGTTTAAAGATTTCAAGGTCAATATCAATAAAAATAAAAGCTTTTTTTTTATTACAAAACAAAAAAAAAGAAAATAAAATAAAGCGAAAAAAAAAATTCATTCATTACAATTTTTCTAAAGCATCTCTTTTTATTTTTTTAGTTTTTCATAATTGTTATAAAATTAAAATGGTTTGTGTATTAACTAAGCAGAAATGGAAAAAAGTTTTATTTAAACTTTTATACTCAATGTATTTTCAATGAAAATTGTTATACAAAACTGGCAACATTTTAGTAATGTTAAAAAAACATTGTGTTATACGCGGTAAGAAATAAATTTTCAAATAATGTTGTCAAGCTTTATAATCTCATAATGTACAACATGTGATACATATATGTTTATATACAAACGGATATAAAAGTTTTATATTTCATTGAAACGAGCTGACAAAATATTTTTATTGTTGTTTCTTTTGTATTTTAAATTATTTCATTTTTTACTTTTATATAATTAATTATGTGTAGCTTTGGAAATTACCCAAAATTTTAATAATTCTATAAAAAGTGAAGTTAACCTAATATATTTGTAATAAAAGAGCATTGATTTTCATAGATTGCAACTTAAAGTAAAAAGTGTATTTAAACAATACAAACATACTTTGTTAAAAAATAATTATTTTAAAAGAAATTTCGTTTAATATTCATTATTTTATATATCAAAATTTTTATATAAAAAATTTTTATAAAATTTCATGATACTCGTACTTTCTTACTCGTAAATGTGCTCTTAAAAGTGAATAATGTTCTTAAAATTTAAAAATAATTTTTTTTATTAACATAATAGAGTATTTCTTATTTTTATTTATTATTATCAATTCCAATACCATTTATTTAAATTTTAATTCATGGTTTCCGATTTAAATTATAAAATTTATTATTTCTGTTTTTCAGCTGAAGTTGACCAAAATATTTCCAATTTACTATTTTAACTGTGTTGCCGCTGTATTTCAATCTGGAAGGAATCACTTAACGGGTAAATATTTACACTTTTTAAAAATACAATTTACGTTTTACAATTTACGTGCTGAAATAATAAATCTAGAAAGGCTAGGAAAATTCAATTAGTGAATTTTAAAAATTTGATTTAACAAAAAAAAAAAATAAATATGATATAAGATGCTTTTGAGTGAATTTTTTGCAATACTTCGTAAAGAGTACTTTTATAAAATACAGGAATTTCTTCAAAAAAAGGAAACCTTTTTTGTTTGGAATTGCTTTAACTATTATCAATTTACAAATATTTTCAATTAATTATTTCGATATTGAAAAGTTTAGTTGGACATTCTCTTTTATTTAGGTAAGACAAAATAGTAAAATAAAATATGATTAATCAAAATTTTTAATACTATATATAGCTATAAGTATTAATTTAAATTATAAAATTAAAATTCTTTAATTTTATATTATAGTTAAAGTTTTTAAGTTTACAACAAAAAATATCAACCCATCAAAAAAGCCAAAAATGTATTTGAGACCGGGATCCACTCTGTGCTCGCTCAGTTTATTATTTTTAAAATCAGTGAACACAGCTGGTGGTATCTCAGTTTCATTTATGTTAATAACAACATTCAGTAAATTTTAAGAAAAAAAAATCTTCAATGAACGTTTTATATTGCCTAGCATTTGAAATATAACAGTTAAAATATTGTATAAGATGTGATATATGTTGTGTTCTATCGTACGTGAAAAGTATTATTTAAAAAGAAATTAAGTAAATCAAAATTAAATAGTTTTATAAATATTTTCCTTTTTATGTTATTTTTTAATGTTAATAAAGTGAAAATAAAAAAAAGTGATTTTAAATTAAGAGAAAAAACGTTAAAAATAATAATAAAAACTTATATAACAAATTGAAAAATTATCATATTATGCAAAATTTGTTGCTTAGCACATTTATTTTGCAAACATTTTCAATTCATCACCCACAAATCAACAAACAAAAAACAAATATATAGAAAAAAAAAATTGAAATATTGGACAAGAAAAACAAAAATTTTTAATTTGGGAATTAATCAAAAAAAAAAAAAAAACAATAAAGAGAGAGAAAAATAAAAGAGCTTTTTATATATAGAAGAAATTAAAAAGCTTTTTATTTTTATAATTAAATTGTCAAAATTGCATGGGTCTTTCAATGCCTATAAATCGCATGCAACTTTATTTTAGAATAATAGAGAAATTATAACACAAAGATAGCAAGGTAAGTAAAAAAAAAAAACAAAATTCAAATTAATTTTTTTTTATAATTTTATGCAACACATTTTTTTATTTTCTCTTTTGTTGAAATTTCTAAATTTTAGAAAAAACTTTGTATTAGAAATTAAAAATAATCCTAAAATTCTTAAAAATAGCATTGTTAAATATTTTTTTTTTGTTCCTGTTCTTTTATTCAGTAAAGCAAGAAAATATATCTTTTATCCCTACCAGCGTAGGTGGTATTCAAAAATTATTTCAAAGATTTACCAATACACATGAAAAGAAAAATTTTTGATATTTGAATTGATTTTATTTTTTTACTTTTTGCCTTTTCTTAACTCTCTCCTTTGAATTGATTTTTTCTGAAAAACGTGTGCGTCCATTATACCATGCATTTTGATATACATTTACAAATACGTATGTATGTATGTATTGGTGTATATACACAGAAATGGAATCTTCTATACTTTTAAAGAAATTGCAATACGAAAAACTTAATTATTTTTTTATGTAACATTACATAAAATTTTTTTTCCTATTTTTATTTTGTTTTTAATATTCTTCTTTATTTTCTTCTTCTTCTTGTTTATGTAATCTATCCAACACAACAGTGTGTTTGTTCAAAAGCTTTTTCAAGGTTATTCAGCTAGTTTTTTTTTTATTTATTCTTCAGTTCTGTCGTCGTTTTTTTTTTTTTGTAAAAACCTACCCATTTTTCTTTTTATTATTACATTTATTTTTTTTCTTCTCTTGTTTTTATTATTTTATCTTCTATAACAATATTTTGTTTAACGTATGTACACCATGCACACACAAATATCATTGTAAAGAGTTGCATAGAAAAAAAAAATTGAACAAGATTGAAAAGAAAGGCAAAAAATAAAGAGGAAAAAATTTTCTTTTCATTTGAATGGGGCCTGTATTTCTTTTTTGTTTTTAATGAATATTTTTTTTAAAGGATAAAAGAATAAGGATTTATTAAAAATCTAAATTGGTACCGAGTTAATTAATATAAGATTAAATCTTTCATACAATGGAATATAGTTTATCATTTTAGATGTTTAGGAAAAGAAGGAGAAAATAATTTAAATTTTTTTTATGTTTTTTAATCAATAATATTAAAAAATGCTTTGTTTTATATTGTTTATAATTGCGCATCAAAAATGTAATTTATTTTAATAAAATATTGAAAAAAAATATTAAAATGTAAAATGATTCGAAAAGTTAATAAAAATATTTATTTAAATTTAAAAACTTTCTATAAATAGAATATTAAAATTTTATTTGTATCTGAAATATGAAATCTAAATACAATTTTATGTATAATTTTAAATTATTCAAGATTTTATAATAAACTATTAATTGCATACATTTAGGGGTTTCACAACTCTTGCAGTAATTATCATTTTATTTAAAAACAATTAACCTCAATTGCAAGCTACAATTTTTTCAATAAAACAATTGTTTTCTACTAACTTGTTGGATATTTCTTCTTTTCGAAACTTCAGAATTTTATATTAAAAACAAAAATTTGTTATACTACTAAAAGTTACTTATTCTATTGTACGAAAGATTTCTTAAATAGAAAATTTTTATAATTTATTTTTAGTAATAAGATTTTCATATTTTTAAGGAAAATTACTTTCATAATTTAATTTTAATCACTTTATTAATTAGACTATATATATATATATATAATTCATATATAATTAGAATTAATTGGTGTATTTATAAAATTAAATTTAAATTATATTTATTTTATAAAAGAAAAAAAAATATAAGATTTTGTTGAAAAATTTGGAGAACTGTTAAAATTTAAAAAGAATTAAATAGTATCATTTAAAATAAAGTCAATTAATACTTTTATAAATCACAAACACACAATAATTTTAATATTTTGTTATAAAAAATTAAGCGCTATTTTCATTTCATCACCATAATTAAATTTTACTACAATTTTAAATATTTCATTCACAACAGTAATGTAAAATAATATTTAAATTTTGCCTAAAAAAATTGACAACTGTGACTTGTGTACGTGCCTGACATATTATTTGTAATGAAATACTGATTTTGAATTCCAGTAATAATTTTATTTTGGAAAATTTGTTCAAAATTTTGTGTTAATTTATAGAAAGAGATTATTTTAAAGCGGTTAACAAAAATGACATTAAAAATTGAAATTGGTTATGCAATTATATTGTGGTTAGAAAAAAAAATTATATTCCTGTTATATTGTGGTTAGAAAAAAAAAATTATTTTCCTGTTATATTGTGGTTAGAAAAGAAATCGTTTTCCTGATAAATTAAGTTTGATGCTAAAATTTGTTAATTTTTCCAAATTTGTTGTATACTGTTCTTCTACACAAACAATTCAAGTGAGATAAATTAAAAAACTCTTTAGTATAAATTAAACTGCTTACTTATAGAAAGTTCAAATTGGAAATAATGTTAGGAATTTGTAAGTACGTTTTAGTTTTTTTTTGTCTTTTGAATTGTAAGAATATTTTAATTTGGCAGGATTTTCTCACTGGCTAAAAATTATTAATAACAGAAATCTACGTTATTTTCATCGAAGTGTAATTTCTTTTGTATTTAAATTTAAGTAAATGAATGAAATAAATATCGCCTAAAAATATGCATCACTTAGATAAAAACATATCAAATACTTTTATCTGTCAAATATTCTTTATTTATCTAATTACAACAAAAATAAGATTTAATTTTTGTCTTTCCAATTTAAACCTTAATTTGACAATATCACATATTCCCAAGGAAAAGCTTGCAATAAAATTACCAAAAGTAAAGTAAAGATAAGGAAAAAAGGAAAACATAAAAAACACAAAAATAATTTATAAAATTTTGGCAATTGTGCATAGGAAAATTTGCATTAAAAATTTTTTTTATTTGGTTTTTCGTTTTTGAAATTTAGCCAATTATAAGCATTTTATATACTTTAATTTTATTGTTATATACCTTGCCTATTAATTATTAATTCTGGCATTAACCCATTAGCCGTTGACAGGAACAGGACTAATTGGTTACGTAGGATTATATGGAATGATTACAATGTTGTTCATTTATTAGATAAAATTTTTTATATTACATAACAAATTTTTGAGAAAAACCACAAAGGACAATTTTTCTTAAATACTTTTAATTATAAAGAATATAAACAATCGAAATGTAATTTTCTATTAGTTTTAAATTATAGATTTTTAATACTGAGGTGACAATAAATCACATTATTAGTTGAATCTACCGTCCTCCTTGAATAAGTGCAAATATGTCGTCCAAAATAACTCTCTGAAATCTATCTTGTATAGTTCAGTTAGAATTTATATATATAGATATAAAATTCAGTAATTATAACTCACTAAATGAATTTTATATTTGAAAACTAAAAAATTGAAGTCATGGATAGTTAAAATAAATGTAGAGTAATATAATAAAAATATACTCATGTTAAAAATTTTCTTAAACAATATATCACTACAGTTTATATACAAATTTTAGGATTTATTTAAAAAATGTGAATTTTTCTAATTAAAAAAATAATAATTGAGTTGCTAAATTTCAACAGATAAATTGTATTTGAAAACTATAAGAAACAATTCTATATACTTATATAATTATAACATTTTATATAATACCTTATTATATTTTATATAAATACATTAAACTTACATACATATACACACATGCAAGTTCATTTAAGGTAGAAAACTTGTATAAAAGATATCATTTATAATACATACATATATACATTTGAATATGAAATAATTTATGGCACGTGTGGCATTCTAATTAATTAAAAGAATTGTGCAAATGTATTTACATGCGCATGTATTATACATAAATGCATGTACATACATATATATGTGATTTTCTTTTAAATCTATTTATAATTTTGTCAACTCATTTACTATTCATATTATAGAGAAAATTGTTAAAATATATATATGTTTATATTTTTGAATATTTGAATTAAATACTACAATTATTCAATTGGTGTAGAAGCAATAAATTTAATTTTTTAATTAAATATACTTTTTAGTATATGTCAATAAGATTTAATGTAAATAATATTTGTATGGTCATTTAAGTATATACTCTTTTAAAAATAACATTTTCAGAATTAAATTAAGTAAATTCATGCCTATGAAGTTTAATAAATTGTATTCGTAAAAGGAAACATAAAATTAATTTTGCACTTCTCCTCTATTTACTAAATATTTGTATTAGTTTGTATTACTCTTTTAATTCTTGTTATTAATACCCATGTCACTCTTACATAAAGTAAATAACGAAAAATTATAAAACTATAATCATTCAATATATTCAAATATTTTTCCTTTAAAGGTTGATTTAATAAAAATTTAAAATTATTTGATATTCAAAATAAATTCACAAGTTCTATAACGATAGACTGACCAACTGCTAAAATATGGAATGATCACAACATTTTTCTATAATAAACTCATATT